CCTATAAATATATGAGAGTGTTCCATCGTATGCCTAATCCTTCTCAGTAAGTTCTTTGGCAGAATGGAATAACATTTTGTAAATGCCCATTTGTCTCTATGGAATGATTTTTTTTGCCCACTCGAATAAAGTGAACGAATTATGTTCGCATTTCTCGCGCTAACTCTCTTCTTAACTCTTACAGAATTTATTTGCATTTCGTAATCACTCACTTTCGTCTCTATTCTTACTTGTCTCGATGACCTAATTGCTAGTTAGGATAATGGAGCTCTTTAAGTCTTGAAGTACATTCCAGGCTTAATGTGTGTGTTAAGTTGAATTAATCATTACATCTTAATACTCGGTGTGATGAATATATGTTTCGACGCGCCGGAGAAGAGAGATCGACGGTTACTGCGGTTAGGAGTAGGGTGTTGGAGTGGAGATCGTTGAGAAGAGCTTTATCGCGATCCGAAGTTGATTTGTCGTAAACCATTGGCCGGAGAAGGACACGTTGGCGGCCTGAGTCGGATTCGGGGTTCAGGAGGGGTCGGAGGCGAGCTAGGGCAGAGCGACCGAGAGAGAGAAGAGGGAAAAAGTGAAAATGAAATGCGAGGCGCGAGTGTTCCTTTTAGGGCTTCTACCGGCGATGTACCGGCGGTTTGTGCCGTCGGTAAAAATTTACTTATCAACGACGGCCAACACCGTCGGTAAACCGCCGGTCCATATTGTTGTCCGACGGTTTAGCGACGGTTATATAACCGCCGTTAGTACCGGCTGCACAATGAGGGATAGGCACCGGTAAGCCGCCGTTAAACGCCGGCGGCTAAACCGCCGCCCAAACCGTCGGTAAAACCGGCGGCCTATAAACCGCCGGTAAGAGCTGTTTTTCCTGTAGTGTAATTAGATTTTTCAATTTTAAAAACGCATAATTATGAGATTTTAATAATAATAAAGCTTAAAATAATAATAATAATAATAATGAAGCTCTTTTATCTTTGATTAAGATATGATTAAACTAGTTAAAACAATTTGGAAATTTATTAAATATAATAGGAAAGATAGGTTCAAATAAATTTGTGAGGTAAAAATTTTTTTCCTTATATAAATGATTATGAAATAAATTAAATAATTAGAAAAGCAACTCAACTAAATTCTCAAAATATATGAAATGAAATTTTGCTATATCAATTAAAATATATTTAAATTGAATAAATGTAGATAAAATCAAATTAATTTAAATTTTGTGTTCACTACCTTTAAAACCTTAGGTAAATCTATATGTCCATTAATTTAATTTATAATAAATAACTTTAAATTAAATCACACACATTATGCCATTGAGATTCTTCAATTTGGAGATTATTGAATCTTGAGCCATTGAGATTATACTGAGCAATACCGAGTCCAAAATATCAAGTTTTAGGTGACGTGGTGCGTGGTTATTGGTCTCTGAACGCATTCGGACACCGGATGTAATAATTGCTCCTAAAATGACTTCTTCTTTTTCTCCATTTTTCTCACCTATCTTTTCAACCCCCCAAACAAAATGATAAGTGCATCTAAATTTTTTTTACTTGTTTAAATATTTTAAGTGAAGAATTATTTAGCATAAGTGCATCTTAGAAGTTGAAAATACATAATGATTACAACTCATTCAAATCCATATTGTCATAAGAAGATAATGAATTATTAAAAAAAAAACATAATTTAGGATTAATTTCACACACTCCAATAAATTCTTTGAGGAAAATATTTTATTACATATAATTATTTTGATAGTATTTGCTTATGTGAGTGTCATTCTATGTGTTTCCTAAAATTTACATTAAAATTTATGATTAAATATGTCATGAATAGTTACATATACAATCATAAGTATTCTTGAACATTTATGGCTGGATTTGGTGAGGTATAGTCTTTAAGGGTATCAAAAAATAATTCGAGCCAATAACTTGAATCGAACCTCATGGTTTGGTTGGCAAGATTATAATTTGGGCTAAGTTCGGGTCTTAAAGTCTAACTTGATTAATTTTCAAGTTGGGTTCAACTTGATCAAAAATTGACTCAATTATCATTCAAGTTCGTGATTACGAGTTGGATTCAAGTTAAATGAATAGTCTTCATGATAAACTGATTGTATTCAGACTAAATAAGTGATTTTGATATTAAAAAAATGCACTATCTATATAGTAAACAGGTTATATTCAGGTCAAATATATTTGGATTAAGTCAAATTTGAATCATACCCGAACTATATCTGCCAACCCGAGTTTACACCCTTAATTCTTTTAATGTCCATGTTTGTGTTTAATATATCATGTTCAAATCTTCTACAAATTTGTGTATTATAAGATAACAATAAATTAAGTGATTTTCTATGGGTGTCAATTTAGGTTAGCAATTCGAGGTTAAATCTAACCTGAAATTGAATCAATCCTAACATTATGAACACATAATTATTATTTTTTTTTTTTGAAAAGTTTGACTAGAACAATCAATAATTATTTTAGGAGTTATTATAATTCTAAATTACAAATCGTCTTCGCCTGAACATATATAATATAGTATTTTAATTACACTATTTTTTATAATTTTTTTATACTGATAAAATTTCTTAAAAAATTAACAACTATCTATACATGTGAGGTTTTTGGGACTAACAAGTATCTATTTTGTAAACTGATTTTATTTAAAAAAAACTAAATAAAATGAGTTATTTTATAAATATTTTTTATAATTTTTGAAATTTCTAAAAAAAAATATGAATTTTATGCTAAAGTATAATATCTAACTCCACTTAATTATATATATCATTTTTCCCTTCCATTTCAGTTAACAGGGAAGTGCTTAGGGAGTATAGGGAAAAAGAGAGGAGAGAGAAAGGGAAAAACAAGTTTTAGGCAACTTCAAGTCATTTTCGACTCAGTTGGGAAACTTGTTCGTCTCAAAGTAGGTCACTTTATGCCTATCTCAATTTTTTAAAAATGCAACTTTTTATATGTTATAGAGATTATGATTATGCATATTTTAAACATTTTATGAAAATTTTACAACTAGGGTTTTAAAATTTGTGGGATTTTATTGAATAGAAAAATATATGTACTCTAAAAAATAGTGTTATAGTGCGAGAAAAATCTTAAAACATTATTTTAAACAATATCTAGTAATTTGATAAATTTTATAAAATGTACATTTTTGCTTAATAAGATTTTTGCCTACATATCATTGTAGAAAAATGTATAATTTTGACACATACTCAATTATAATGTGAATATATATGTATATATGTAATTAAATTATATCTGCTGGGAGCCATAAAAGCTAAAATTCTTTGAGATTTTGTCTATGTTAGAAAATATTTTGATGACTATAAGACACATTATGGTGGTCAGAAGTCATATTATGGTGTTTACGGGCATATTCTGATACTATAAGCATAAAAAAGGAGTTATAAAGGATCACAATCCTTTGAGATTTTATCTAGGTCCAGAAAATGTGATATGAATTATCATTTATTTATCTGCTTAGTAATGCTATTTAAATAATTGAATAATCGTTACGCTCTTATTATATTTTTAGTATAGTGGTTTATTAGGCTGCATTTAATTGCTTCTAAATATTCAACAAAATTTAATAAAAAATTTTAAAAATTTAGATTTGGTTTTATGTCCCACTGAGTTATTATAACTCACTGTAGTTTTACTTCTAGCTTTCAGGATCTAGAAAGTGAAAAGAGACTGTTGATTAGCATGTCAGGATCTGATATGTGTTTATAGGTATTTTCCTTTTTTAATTTTTATACAATCATGATTAGTTTATTATTCAATTATGTAGCTATTGCATGTATCCATGTTCTATAATGTAGATACATTTTGATGAAAAAAAAAAGAAATATTATCGATAAGTTTATTTTTAGTATTTGAATGCATTTGTAGCTAGGGGTGTCAATATTTGACACGACACTACCCGGGTCGGGTTAGGGTCGACCCGTTTTCCACCCGGGTCAGTTCGGGTTCGACCCGAACCCGACCCGTGACCCGAAATTGACACCCCTATTTGTAGCTATGTAGTATGTAGTTATTTAAAATAGACATTATAAAAGAATATGAACATTTCAAAACAAGATATTGGAATTTGCTTGTCACAACTCAACACGATAGAATATGTCCTGGTCGAATTTGATGGTGACGAACATAGTAATGATAATGATGCAATGAATACACATGAAATGATAAAAACATCACATTAAAGTTGGATGTTCGATCTTGTTGACTCATGTAATGAAGTATGCACGCATTGATAGTATTAATAGACATAAATGTAAACTGCATATATATCATTGATAAATAGGTCATAATGGGTACAAATACATGTATTGATTGCATATGATGCATAATAGATAAAATATATAAGACTAATGATATTGACATATGTATATTATGATTCCTTTACTGCTTTATGAATACTTTCAATACGATTGCTTAATGAATTTTGTTGATTCTCGTATCAACTATTAATTCATTGAAATGATTTCTTGCTAGATCAAAACCTTATCCATTCATAATAGGTGTTAACATTTGACATGAATCTGACTTGACTCGAATCTGCTTGATCTGAACATGATGCGTTTAACTCAAATTATTAGTACATTGATTATATAATTTTTTTAGAACAATATGATCCTTTTACTAAAAAATGAGTCATGTCATGCAAAAATGAGCTGCTTAACTTGAACTCGATTCATTTATCGAAGTCGGGTGTTAATGTGGTCAATTTGAATTAGATCCGAAAATTAATTTGATCTAAATTTTAGATCTTAATTATAACCTAAATTTTTTCAATTAAATTTTGATTGAATTGTAGAATCAAATCATTTATTGACAACTTATAGGAGGGATTATTTCTTTTGGTAATAATGTGGATTAGTGGTTGGGTGTGAAAAAGCTAGGTGAACGATAAAAGAGAGCCGGCGCTGTCCTTGTCGGGCGACTTTTCTCTCTCTCTCTCTCTCTCTCTCTCCCTCCGTCACAATTCCCGTTTTGCCATCCCCAACGTCCTCTTCTGTCCTTCCAACCATCGCTGGTGCCCCCTTCTCCCCAGTTCTTCTCCACATCCCCGGAAAATCCTAACCCTAGAAATAGAAAGAGACCCCCTCTGTGTTTGCCTCACTTTCCATCCTGTTTCTGGCTTTTGTTCTCTACTCATCCTAGGCGAGAAATCCAGGTGAGATACTCTTCGCTTTCGCCTCTGCTGTCATTGAAAGTGGTGGTTTTTTAGTCAATTGTTTCGTCATCGTGTCGTAGATTGGACGTTACATGTAAATGTGCTCTTTATTCTGAGGGATTCGCGGATCGGACGCATCGGTTCTGATGGATTGTGTGATCGAATTGCATGTTTCCTTAGGATCCTTTTGGCGAATTTTGGGGCTTTGCCTTGATTCTTTATTTTTTCGCTTGCTTGTATGATCGCTCGTGCTTAGACGGTGTAGAGAGGTCGTGTGAGTTATTTGTGATTTAAAAGCGGCCGTTTGCTTCAATTTTTCTTAACAATGCTTACTTCTTGATTGTTAACATTCCTGTTTTATGAAAATAGCGCCAACGGCATCATTTTCTTAAATTTAGTGCATCTTTCCTTGTGTTTATCCCTTTTGTGGTCCATCTCGTCGATATTTGTTAGAAATATGTTATTCTTTCTGGTTCCAACAGTCGGACACACTGACAGTGATATATTCTTTCCATGATACATGAGAAAATTCTGATGTCCGAATCAGACTGTGGTTGACTTTGGTGGTGGTGGAAAAGTGATTTTACTGTTTAGCAAAAATTTTAATGCATTTATTGAAAACTGTTTTCATAAATACTATGACTGTTGTGATCCTCACATTGCCTGTTTAATATTAGCGATATGTTGCCATAAAGTTTTACATGCAATAACAAATGCTGTATCATGTTTTAATCATGGAATAATGCTTATTGTTTCCTCATTTTAATTTGACCCTGTTCATTAGGTAATGTGCAACAAAGGGCAACTGTAAAGAAGAAATATAAGATGCCACGTTGGCTTTGCTGTTCTTTTAATTCGAACGAAACGGATGACCCTCATGAGAATGAAGCTTTAAAGAGTTCAAAGCCTTACGAGGATGGTAGGAATCACCAGTTTTTGCTTGAGTGTTCTTTTAACTTTTATGACTTAAAATAATATAATTGGAAGTGTCGAAATCTATGTTAAATGCACTCTGTTTGACTTCTTTGACATCATTATGATGTGAAGAAATTTCAGGATTAGTCGATGATTGTTGTATATTTTAAAATTTTTTTGCGCTTGTTCATTTGCATCGACTTTTCCTAGTTCTTTATCACCTTTGAATGATTTTTATATGTTTTTATCCATATATGGCTTCTCATAAAATCATTTGCAACCAGAATTTTGATATTTGGCTTCTCTTTTTAAATGCAGTATTTGGTATTTTTATAATTTTGTTATTCCACGTCAAAGATTAACCATACAATGTATAGTAGATTTCCTGATGCATAATTTGTAGAGATAATTTTTTTAGGAAAAGGTGGTGGAGACTTAAAAGATAGAAGCTTTTAATGCTTAGAAGTACTAATTAAATAAGGTAAATTTGGGATTGCAGCTATCTAATTCTTATTTTAGGCATTGCCTTGAATTCTCTAATGCCTGCTGCAAGTGTGGCAGATATAATGCAGATCCTAGGGTGAAGCTATGAGAATGTTGGAAACATTTGTTGGGCAGTCAGCCTTGGCTTTCATCCTATTTGAGAGCAGTATTAGCTCAGGAAACCTCATAGTGCTGAAAGATAAAAAAATCATGAAGACAAACTATATATTTGAAGAATAATATACCATTTTTTTGCGGTTAATAATTTAATATCATAGGCGGTGCACAAAATTTAATAAATTCTTCTATATTCTTCAAAGAACTGATAAATTCACAACAAGTTTTTTATGGTGTGGACATTCAAATAGTTTGACTCAATAGAAAAATTAATATGCTCAATGTCTTGTAGAGTTGGAGGCTCAATGGATAAATTCTTAAGGTTTTAGTCAGTAGAAGTTCAAGCATGACTTTAAACTCAGCCTCAAGTTCTCATAATTTAAAGTTGAATGTAGATAGAATTCTAATTCAAAAATTTAAATGCAAAATTAAGTTCTAATGGTAAGCTCTAATGCGGGCTTTACTTTCATATGAGATTCAAATGCTTGTTTAAGTTTTTATTTAGATTAAAGCTTAATTTAAGTAGAAGTCCTAGTTCATGTGTAGGTAGAAAATCAACTGTTACTTTAGGTGCAAGCTTATATGTAAGGTCAAATAAATTGTTATCTTATGTATGTTGATCATATTTTAAATTTATGTCTTCATCATCGATATTGAGTTTATTATCTTCAAAATCTTTGAGGACTCTTGAGCAAGGGGATCTCATTAAATTTGCACAAACGATTTGTTCTATGACTAAGTTATGATAATAATATTAGATTGGACTAGTATTGATGCTGTTTTAGCAAGAAATACATTAGGGGGTAAATTATTACAACAACAACACTACGTGGGTAAATTATTAGTTTGGAAATATTCATCATAGGAGGCTTTTTTATTATCTTTTAATCTCTATCAGTCTTTTGTAAGATTCATCCATAGTTTTTTTTGGAGAATTATCTTTCATATCATGCTTAATGGCATATCTAAGTTCACTAATGATTTTAGACATAACTTCGGATAAACAACATTTATCTCATTTAAACCTATCAAAGTAATAAATATAGTTGTTTTTTCTAGGTTAAGGTTCTTGAGTTGTTCCATTTACTGCATATGTTATTTTGCTTGTAGGTATTTTTGATTAAAAATATATTTTATTTTAATCTTTCTAATGATACGCTGTTTATTTAAACTTTAATATCAATTTCAAATTTTTACCAAATTCTTTTAATAGATCCACTAATCTAGTGATAGATTGCACGTCACATAATTTATGCTAATCAAAGAATTCTTCTGATTTAAAAGCTAATATGATCTTGTGTTCCATCAAATGTAGAAATGTCTATCTTAACTAAACAGATATCCATCATAATGTTGTATTGAACCTTTGTAATTTTTATAATTTCTTATGTTAATGTGTATGATGTTGATCATCTGCTTCTATCATATGGCTTTGTCTAACTGGCTATAGGGTTAACTTTAATTGATTTTACATCAAGTATTATGTTATCAAACTTATTCATAAAATTGTAAAACAATCTTGAATTTTAATTATTCTTTTAGTGGTATACATGGACATGATTAGTTATATGCTAAAGCCAAAAAACAACCACAATTTTCATGAATATATAACTAGTAAGCAAAGATGCTTATACATGTTATCTAACTAAATAATGTATATGCAATGTAGATATGTCTTGTTATTTAAGTTAAATAACTAGCATAAATCAACAATAATCTATCACTTTCCACTTTAGACGGCTTAGAAATGAATACACATGTTTATATAGAAGTTTCTATAGAAATATGCAATTTAATAAGGTTGTTTTAGCAGTGTTTCCTAATAACTTTCAGGAGGCTTGTGATCAAACTAAAATTCGCTCAATCTTAAGTCTTAACCATTAATCATGTTCCTGGTATCTTTGATTGTTTAAGTAGATGCAATCTCTTAGGCTTAGGAGGGAAGGGTGTTGCATGTACAGTAATCCTACAATTGTTCTTACCATACTACGTATGGATCTAGAATATGCTAATAGATCTGTGAATTGGAACTATAGTCAGCTTGATCAAGTCAAAGGATACCTTAATGTAGAACATAGTGACACGAAGGGTGTTGCATGTACAGTTATCCTACAATTGTTTTTACCATACTACGTATGGATCTAGAATATGCTAATAGGTCTGTGAAGTGGAACTATACTCAGCTAGATCAAGTCAAAGGATACCTTATTGTAGAACATAGTAACCCATTGCTTTATGAGTTTATCTTTTTAAAGTTATCGATCCTCATTCTTATTGCTAAGGGCTTCATAATCTTGTTGTATGGATGTTGGGGAGTTCTCAATATGATGGATTTTATTGTAGACGTTTTAAAATTTTGATTTGAATTTGGATGCACAGTGCCCGATTTTGGAAGCAGAATTGTCCAGGAGGGTTTGTATTTGAATGCATAGTGACTGCTTTGGTGGCGGGCTTTTGTAGGATAGCTAAACATTGAATCCTCTTCTAAACCAATGCTGATACCTTTATTTAACGCAGCATGGGATGTGGAGGCGACCAACATATTTTTGTGAAGAACTCATGAAATATTATTGAATTCATTGCTATTTTATGATGTAATATGCATAGTTGTACAGGATATCAAACAAGAGGTGCAGATTAATTGTGTGAGAAAAATGGAGTGTTGGATAGGAGGTTTTCCTAGAGAGAAAGGGGACCAGGAAAGAGAGAGTGCAAGGAAAATAATTTTGATAACCAGACATGCACGAGGGATTATAGTGATAAAAAAAGATAGGCAGGAGACAAATTTTTTACGAGGAGAGAGTTAGTTTAGAGCAAGGAGAGGAACTGGAGAGAATTCAAAATAGGTGAGAGAAGAGTATTGCTGAGAGGATAGTTAGCAATACCTGAGGTGCAGGAAAATCAATCATATATGTCTCCTGGATTTATAAAATTAGCTTTTAAGGATTTATTTATATGCTAAATATTTACAAGAATACCAAAAACAACATTTTGATCATTGAGGATGCTATTGTCTTCTTTATCTAATCTTTTCTCTTGTTTCCTTTCCTTCAATCCATCATTTATTGCGTTCTCTCTATATCTTGGCCTGAGAGTTGCCGTCCGCCCATGTGCCAGACCTAGGTTTGTGGCTTCTATTATACTTTGCAGGCACCTTTCGCATGACTACGTTTTTGCTGTTGCTGTTACATGAGAGGTATAAAGAAAGAAAGAAAATGTTTTAATTCCTTGAAAATGTTGGACACAGGTTTTCCATAATTTGAAACGGGCACATTAGTAGGATAGAAATGACTTCTAATTTGTAAACATCAACTTCTGAATAATTTACATGATTGAAATATGCCTTCAGAACGAGATGGGCTGTTTAATTTAGACGAGGCTACCCTTTTTATCTGTATTTCTGTATTTTCTTATGGCATATATGGTTTCTTGTAAAAAAAAAACATGTCATAGAACATGATGATTTTGTTTTCACTCATGGGAAAATAAAATCATGACTTTTGAGAATGTTTTAAGAAGATTTGTGGAGTTAGAAATCTATTCTGGTCTAACTACATTCAACCAAATGATTGGTGTTTTAAGAAGATTTGTGAAGTTAGAAATCTAAGCTGGTCTAACTACATTCAACCAAATGATTAATTTAACAAGTTTTATCATTTTTCAAAACATGATTTGGGTCTTCAAGCAACCAAATGAACTCTTAAAATCTTCTTTCCTTCTAGTTCCTGTTCTTCACATCTATATATTTTATTTTCTTCGTTAAGGACTGCAAAAAGGTTCAAAAGTCCCCCATGTTGCTAAAAATGAGCCCCCGAAGGCACCACCTCCTATTGATGTACCTGCCCTCTCTCTTGATGAACTGAAGGAGAAGACTGACAATTTCGGGTCAAAGGCTTTGGTTGGAGAGGGGTCGTATGGAAGGGTATATTTTGCTGTTCTAAAAGATGGTAGACAAGTGGCAATAAAAAAGCTTGATGTTTCACAAGAGCCTGAGTCCAATGCTGAGTTTCTGACCCAGGTATGCATTTTAGAACAAACTTAATTTACCTACTTCATCCTATTTCGAGATAGAATATTTTTTCATCCATTATTGATTTGTTGGATTTTCTTAGATTTGACCATGTTAATTGCACAAAATCAGGTTGCAATGGTATCAAAATTAAAACATGATAACTTTGTTGAACTGCGGGGCTACTGCGTGGAGGAAAATCTCAGATTACTTACCTATGAGTTTGCTACCATGGGTTCTCTGCATGATGTTTTGCATGGTATTAATTTCTTGTTGTCCTAAGTTGCTCCCTCGTAGACTTCACTTATATTATAAAACATTTTCCCAAATAATCAAGATAAGATTGGCGCTTCATTTTTTTTTTCTTTTGTTTATTTGCTTTTTTTGGGGGGGTGATTTAGGCAGGAAAGGAGTGCAAGGCGCACAACCTGGTCCTGTTCTTGACTGGATGCAGCGTGTGAGCATTGCTATTGATGCAGCTAAGGGTCTGGAATATCTACACGAGAAAGTTCAGCCTTCCATCATACATAGGGATATCCGTTCAAGCAACATTTTACTATTTGAAGACTTCAGAGCAAAAATTGCTGATTTCAATCTTTCCAATCAAGCACCTGATATGGCTGCTCGTCTCCACTCTACCCGTGTTCTTGGAACCTTTGGTTATCATGCTCCTGAGTAATTTTTTTGAACTCAATTATATGAAAATTTAGACTACAATATCTATAGCAGCTTCCTCATCAAAACATAAATTCATTTTTTGAAACTTTCTTTATTCATGTTTTAATTAATATTTTAGTAATGTGCAACTGCATGCGATGGAATAAATTTTTTTAGCTTTTTCAGAATTGTTAGAGTTTTATGCAGTTTTCTGGGACAGTAGAAGAGGTTTTTATTTTTATTTTTTTCAAGTGGTCTCTGTAGCTTTCCTGCGTTGTCTTGTGATCTGTCTTGATTCCCTTCAGGCCATTGCTAACTTTGGTTGTAGCGTTGATACAAATTCAAAAACATGTAGTTCACTCATGTTTTTCTCACCTTGAATTCAAGATAGGAACTTTTGCTGTGCTATGTAGCGCTTTGAAGTGATGCTAAATATTAATATCACAGATTTCTTCTGCTCTATTTTCTCTTAGGATTTCTGACAGGACGTTATGTTTGAAAACTCGCACAGACTAGCTAATTAAAAAAAAAAAGCTAGTACTTGACTTTATATTCAAAATATATATATTTTTTAATGTTTTCATAATTGTGAAGGTCGAAATTCTCATGTTAGGATTTCTGCACTTTTGAAAGAATATCTCAAGTTTTGGATCAATATATACGCAATTGTGATCAAATTACTTTTACATGATGAAGGGTCCCATAGATCAAATGAACTTGCTAAAATCCTTATTTTCTTTAAGTTTTTGGGCTTCTTAATACTGACTCTTCCATGCTGTGGCAGATATGCAATGACAGGGCAGCTGACGCAGAAAAGTGATGTGTACAGCTTTGGTGTTGTTCTTTTAGAGCTTCTCACTGGGAGGAAGCCTGTTGATCATACAATGCCTAGAGGGCAGCAGAGTTTGGTTACTTGGGTGAGTTATTTTTACACAATTTAAACCTTGAATTTAAAGCGAAAAATCTCTAATCTCTTGATCAGGGTGGTCGGTTTAGCTTCTTTACCTGTTCTTATGTTTTCTTCTTGTTTATCCCTTTTTTCAGGCTACTCCACGATTGAGCGAGGATAAGGTAAAGCAATGTGTAGATCCAAGATTAAAGGGAGAATATCCGCCAAAAGGCATAGCGAAGGTCTCTTTCTCTGCACTTTGAAATTACCATTACCTTCACATGCATTCAAGCCATTCATTGATAAAATTTTGATATTTCCAATTGATGATTAAATAACATTAAAATCTTGAACTCCTGCATGACAATAGTTTTAATGTTGTTAAAGAGAAGAATTAACGTATATTTGAAGCATTATTGAAATTCAATTGGGTGGATTGACAAGTTGTTCTCCTCCCATATGGGATAAGGCTAATGATGACTGCAATAATAATATTAAAGATATATGTGATAGAGTCTTGATATATGTTAATATTTGTGAAATGATTAATGGTTTTTATATCTGAATAGGATCATATTAAAGATTAACATTAAGTACATAACTTTTTATATCGATTATGGAGATGTTTATATATTTAATTATAAAGGAGTTACCTTAGTTTGTTTATTTGAAGATTATATAATAATAGATGAGATCTATGAAGAACGTATTGAAGATAAGAAGCTATGGATGCTATTATAAAGGTGAAATATATAAATTTGCACTTTTTGTAAGTGTGAAATAAATATTTATCAGTAATTATTTTGAAAGATGAAGGAATCTTGATGTGATGGTCTCATTATGCTGGATCTTTATTAGAAGAAAACAACTTTTAATGAGGATAGAGCCTCTAAAATTAAGGTTGAGTGATAATAATAAAATTGCTTAAGAGTAGTATGTATTAAGAGAATATTGTCAAGATATAAAATAAATGTTTATGATATTAAATTAGAACTTGTTATTCCATTATGGATCTTACTACTAGGCCATAATTTTAATCACAGATTGTATAGAAGGTCCAATTTAGTTTATAGACTTTTTAAATATGAGCCAAAATAATCTTGTCGTCAGAAGTAATAGAAATTGATGCTAAAGTTAATGTATGTTGTTAAAATAAGGGTAATTTAGGAATATATCTACTATATGTGCATTAAAGAGTCTACTATATGTGCATTAAATCCATGCCCTTTATTTATATTGCATAGGTAGAATCAATACTTCTAGAAGTATTTTAAAAAATTGCATGGGTAGAATCACCAGTAAAAATATGTGCATAAAATCTATCTATCTGGTAAATAATATTAGATTTAAATACATTCTTGATGTAGAACTACGATGATTGCAATGATTATATTAAGAGCTTGCACAACTTATTGATTAGAGAAATAACAAAGAAGCCTATTAGCAAATAAAACGACGAATCAAAATGTAAGACTGTAAGAGGGGTCACTGTCGTTTAGGCTAAGTTGCACATCAAAAGATTTTGAATCATCAAAATAACTTAAGAAAATAACATCATGCCAAAGTAGTAGTTTTCAACGAAAGCCCTAGTCTAACAATAGATTAGAAAACAAATGAATGCACTCAAATCCCAACGTTTACTAAGCTTAGCAGAATCGGGCGAACGCGTCCTTCTTGACTACAATCAAATCACAAAAGGGGATTAGGCTTAAGAAATACAAGAAAAGGAAAATTAGAAAACCTTCGTCAAGGATCGGTTGCAATCCTCCACTTGACGATCTCAAGTAGCTTCAACCAAGGTGTCCAAGATGCGTTCTATGTAATCCTCAACCGTATGGTCGATCCTCGGGTTGATGTAGAAGAAGGTTGAATGCAAGATGCACACAAACCCGTGCTCGTTGTAGGAGAGGCCGTATTCTGTTTCCGGGTCAGCCATCCATGGAGGACTTGGCTGTTTTTGAATTGGTGAAGTACTAATCAGCCAGGGAAGTTCTCTCCGACAGTGGTATGGCAATTCTGGCTAGTGGAAATAGATGGACAGCAGGTTGGTCTTCTAGAACAGCAGTTTTGAAGCTTCCAGTAGCTGGGAATACAAGAATAGTGGCTGGAATTCTCTGGCTGCAGTCTTAAAAGGTAGAAAGCTCATGTCGGATGGAGTTTGGGAAGGGTTTTGTGGAAGAAAGTTAGTGTACGGGTCTTGGGAAATTTCGGCCAGCAAGGGAAGAAGGAGATGGGCTAAATTCCAAATTAGAATAAGAAGTTTTGGAAAGAGTAAAGAGGTGGAGGATTGAGGGGAAACTCGGCCAATAGAGGTGGAGGGTTTTGAATTCTTTCCAAGAGAGCAACTTGCAATATGGAAAGAATTTCCAAAGGAATCCAAGAGGGGGAGCCGGCGGTAATAGGAGAGAGGGAGGGGATTTGGGGAATTAAAAGAGGTTTCCTAATTTAAAATTAAGAAATAGGAAAGATTTAATTAAATCCTTTCTCATTTAAAATTCAAATAGGAGTTAATTAAGAAACTTTCCTAAAATAGATTTAGTAAATTAAGAAAAATTTTGAATTTCAAATCAATTGTATTTGAATTCAAAATCTGTCCAATTTTGATTCAATCTAAATTAGGAAATGAGGCATTGGGGGAAAAGGAGGAAGAGGGGTGAGATGGGGGGCCGGTAGGTGGGATGGATGGGCCGTGGATGGTGGGGGTTGAATCTAGCCGACGGATGGGAAAACTAGGATGGCCGGCGGCTAGACATGGGAGAGAGGAAATAGGGTCGTTGGTGGTGGTGGGGGGAAGGGAAAGAGAAATAAAACCCCGAACCCGACTTTTCTAGGTTGGTGGGTGATACGCAATTCTCCCTCTCCTAGGGATCTCTCTCCGATTTCTCTAGCTCTCACAAGAATTCATGCAAGGGGAAAAATATTTTGATCAATCATTCATTAACCTTCAAAGAGAAACATAGGGGCTATAAATAGCCTCGTACATAAGACTCAAAAATAAGAAAGATGACAATGCCATCAGGGCTTACATACGACATCCCTTAATAAAAAGAGTACAACGGGAAACTAAATAAAACAAATACAATACGACATCATAAATAAGAAAATACATAAAACAAATCAAAAATACTTAATTTTCAATCGTGGCCGTAGATCGGCGGCCACGTCTCTGATAAACCTTCCATGATCTGATGTCCCCATCAATTCTACTAAAAAAATACATAACCAATTGAAAATTAAGTTTTATCTTTCAAGCTTTTAATACTAATTTCAATGATCGAACATGCAAAATAGATAGTTTTCGTCATAATTTTTTCATTATTATAAAAAAAAAAGAAATAAACAAAATGGTAGCTGCATGTTTCAATCCAAAGTGTTAATGTAATAATTGACTATTTTGTCCCAAGCAATTCATTCAATTGTCCTTTTTCTTTTAGATTTAGAGCTATATATTTGTTCAAATAAGAAGCCCTAATTAGATTTCCACGCTAAAATCTATAGTAAACTTTATTGAAAAAAAATTTATGAATTGGCAATTAATCTTTTAGTTGAAAATCCTTTGGTGCATGATTGCATTGGTTCTAATTGTATATGACTATCTCACTATCTATTTGAAGATTAATGTAATATGATTCTTCTAAAAACAAACAAAAGCAAGAAAGTAAATATAATTTGTGTTAACAATAAAAGAAATTATTAAGATTATTTTTATTATAAAACTCATTATTTTAGTCTTAACAATTGAATCTTGTACATCACGAGATAATTTGTGATATTTGATGACATTCAAGTTTTTGGTCAATTTCATGGATCTCATCACTGTGAATATCCATATTGTTATGGTTTTTCATACCAGAGTATTGCTATTATGTCCATGTTACTTACCTTTATTGCAATGAAGTATGACAGAGGCTCTTCCTAACTTTTTTCTCTGAGTATCTTTGGGTTGTTTGTCATAAGACCTACTTATTTTTGGTGACCTACCCCTCTTAGGTTTATAATGTTTTGGTTTCAATGGTGGAATCCTGTTATTATTAGGCTATTCATCATAGATATTAGCATAGATATTAGCATGCATGGTACTGAATTTATAAATTTTATATTAAGCTTATAATAAGTAGCAAAGTTGAACAAAGTTCTCACATGGACACATTCATATGTATTGCAACACAAACTTATATACTTGATAATCCAATCAACTCCCATCTCCTATAGCTACATGATTTATGCTCTAAGGCCTCGTTTGTTTGCCCGTTTTTTGTGCTTATTCCGTCTGCCAACGTCAAAACAAAAATTTTATTTTTGTTTGATAAAACTGCTTTTTCTTATTACGTTCGTAATATCGATGTTTTACCTAAAAACATGAAAGCAAAAAGTGAGCGCCATTTTCAGAGACGTTCCGCGAACTGCCCTCGTTTTCCCTATTTTACCCTCCCACGACACAGACGAACTCACGTATCCTCTTCTTCAAGCATCCCATTCACCGCGACAAGGCTTCAACGAGGAATCGAATCCCGTTCAAGTGGCCAAAAATCACCTCAGAAATTTGTTGGAGATTCCTCTATAGCGCCTCCTCCTTCCTGCTTTGCTCGTTTCTAGTTTTTTGACCCGATTTGTCCTGCAAATACAACTCCAATCCCATTTGCATCCATCCGTTTACGGCAACATTCGTCATCCATAGATACGCCCTCTCCTATTACAGCAAATACAATCTTACCTCACTCCACAAGCACTGATCGATCTTGCTTTTCCATTTTTGTATAGGCAGATTTTATTATTATTTATACAATAAAATTTAACTATTTATGGAAAAACCGAAAGGTAGCCCGTCGCCGCCTTAGGCAAGGAAGCAGAGGCGGGGTTTGGGGTCGGCCGTGGTGCGTGGCGCGGCGGAGCTCGCTCGGGCGCTGGTTGCGTGCGAGGAGAGGAAGGTGAGGCAGCACAGGGAATGGAGCTAGAGGAGCAGTGGCTGAGAACAGAAGAAAGAATGTAGATGAACCAGCAAGTCCGTCGCTGGCCTTATGATTTAATTAACAGGTTCACACTAATGGGTTCAATCGTACATAATCTGTCCTATATAAACTTTATTTCTGTTTTGAAATTTATTCTATTGGAGATGAAAAGTTGTATTATTTTTCCCTTTATATTATACTTGTAAAAAATATTAAGTAAATTTGAGTTTAATATATAGGTAGTTTCGTCATTTATGATGAAAATGCTAAAATTGTTAATTGTACCAAACACT